CCAATCCATTTCCAGTGACCAGTACGTATTAGTTGTATATAGCTAGCAAAGTGTTTACTGTTTCAGCTGGATGTCGCTGCATGTATTTGAAATATTACTTTGCTGCATGCAATGGTTGGAAAGACTGGAGGAACCGTTGTTTATTCATAGTTCTAATTGCAATTGGAAGGGCTTCAAGAGATACGATGTGCTTATCAGAAATGTTCAGAGACACATCAACAAACCTTCATAATTAAGATTACTATTTCATAATAAATATTAAAGACAACGTACATATACTAACTTGACAGAAAATTAAAGACAACGTACTATTCCCAAAACCCCATGATAAAAGTTAAACGATGTCACTTTTGCCCTAGCATTTTGGCTACATTCTTAACAACAACCACAACACCCACGGCAGCTCCAGCAACCGCAGCAACGGGAGCCATAGCAGGGGCAGTTACCGGTAAAACTACGGTAACAACAGGGGCAACTGAGGTAATTACTGCTGATGCAACTTCAACAAGGTGGAAGAACGACATTAATGAACTGTTTTTGCACTCGAAATTGCTCGAAGCTACACTGTAATAATGTTTTGCAATGGTGGAAAAAGTTTTTGGTAAGACTTGAGGAACACTTGTTTATTTATAGTTCTAATTGGAAAGGCTTCCGATTAATTAGCCAAAATTTTCTCTTCGGTTATTGCACCTCGATTAAAATCGTTTGTTTCTTCTAAGGTCAGATTTTGCACGCATGCGTGCGGGCATCAATGGACGTTGGAATATGAACAGTTTCTGACTACAAGGCTGAAGGCATAATGATAATAGTGCCTCCAAGTAATGATAACACCAAGGGTGGCGCCACAATGTTCATATTCAATATCTTGGCCCTTGATTAATGAACTTTTATCCCAATTTCTTATTGGTCTGAATAACATTTTTTTTTCTTGGTACAGTTAATGTGTAATTCGGTATTTCAAGTAATTATTTATAAGATTTTTTTACTCTAGTCCTTTATATTGAAGCAAATTACAATTTTGTGCTCGTTTACAGATGTTTTTGTATGTTTATTAGGGTTTAGGTAGTGGAGAATTCGGAATTCAAAGTCAAGTAGGCGAAGCTTACATTAAAAACTCGATGTTATGAGTGAATTTCATTAATAAACACAAAAAAAACAAACACCTAGCTAGTCAGGGAGACGTAATGAGCATTACCCTCAAATATGTATATTTATACAAAGTGGTGAAGCCAAGTTTTCATGTGTGCATGAGTCTCACAAAATATGAACAATAAAAATTCGAATTCTTACAAGACATACAAAAACATTAAAAATCATATTGTCTATTTATTATAATCATAATTGCCCTCGATGAGTTTTCATATTTTGAAATCATAAAACAAAATTAATATTCACCAACACAAGTTCACAATTGCACAAAGGGACATACAATTACATACTAAGCAAGAAAAATTATAAGGGATAGACAAATACATACTTGGAGTTGAATAGCGAATTATCAAATATCTCTAAAAACCCAATAAAATCAGTAGAAAGAAGAAATCAATAAGATTAGATAAATACTATTACATAATTAAGAACATATATGCTTACAAACCACGATTACTAACAAAGTAAAAGATGAAAGATGACATAGATAATAGACGACCTTACATCTCTTGCATATTAAAATGGAAACATTTCTAACAATTAACCACAACAGCTACCCTAAGAGCATCTCCACCTACAAGGGCTAAGTTTAAGGGAAAGGGCAAGCAAGGGCTGTCACTATTCACGTGAATAGTGTCAGCCTTTGCATTTGTAGTTCCACCCATGAGGGCAAAGTCTATGGCAAGTCTAAGGCAATTACTATTCATTGTACTTTATTTCCTATTTTTTTATACTTTAAACCATTAATTTTGATAAGTTTTTCAGATTATATTTTCGGTTGTCATGTGTCACTATTTATTATAAAATTTTCACTTAAAATTTAAGATAACATTTTTCGGATAAAATTTTCAAATAAAATTTTCGGATAAAATTTTCGGTTGCCACGTGTCCATATTTATTATAAAATTCACATCCCACTCATCATACAATTGAAATACCTACTGACTCATCATAGAATTGAAATATTCTTAGTTCTCATAGTCCGACACAATGGAATACAAGGACAACTCCATCATTGGCAGAGGCGGTTCCACCGGATCACGACGTGGAGGAGTATTTTCCTTCGGAGGACGTAATAGTACCATTATTTCTGACATGGAACGCACCACTAGAATTGACTGGGGGCATTGTTCACTTGAGGAGCCATGTGTAATGGTTTTCCTCACTTCGATGGAAGATGACATTTGTATTTTTTCACAAATGAAATTTTGTAGTAGAAATTTGGTGTGGAAAGTGAAAAATATTGGAAGGAGATAAGTTTTTATGAAGATTTGGTGTAGAAAGTGAATAAAATGGTTAGGTATTTATAGGGAAAAAATACATAATTTTTTGGTATTTAAAAAAAAAAAATTCAGAATTTTTCAGAATTTTTTTGAATTTTTTTAGCCAAAAAAAAAGGACCGTCAGATTTCTGGAAAAAAAGATCGAAGCGTCCCTGTCGCGACACGTGGCACTTTACTGTTGGATTCTGCCAGTGCTGACGTCAGCGCGCGGAAATCAAATTTTTTTTACCGTTGGCGCGTGTAATTCACGAGCCAACAGTAAAAAAAATTTGCTTTATTGTGCGCTGACGTCAGCGTGATGCCAGCGCTAACGTCACAAAACTCGGGCTTCAGCCCAGGCAGAAGTTGCCCTTGGGCTTGCCCGAGCTGGTGGGACCCACCACGAAACCGGGCTGCTTCTCTTGCGCTGGAGCCATCTCGGATTCGCCAGGGGGCCCTTTCCCCCAGTTTGGGTCCTGCGCTGGACCTGCTCTAACAAGAGCTCCAACAGCCACAAGGGGGGCAGCACATGGTATAAATGCCGCTACAGCTGCCGGTATCAGCTTTGGCAGCAACCACATTGCCGCTGATACTGCAGCTACCTTCAAAATCTGAAACCAACTCATTTTTGCATGCAATGGGATGTTGGAGAGAGGCTTTGGGAGCACCCTTACTTTATAGTACTAATTGGAAGGGCATGCATGCTATTATTTACCTAACTCTTCGATTATTGTAGCTGCGTTGAATTTGTTTACTTCTTTGGGATTCAAATTTTCCATGCATGCATGGGTGCGTCAATTCTCAATGTGCATTGGAAACAGCTTCTGACCGAATACTGCTAGCTAGTCAGTATGGTTTAATAGTGTACAGTTGGGAAGTTCGTCAGAAAAAAGATTGCTAATTCCTATATTTTAACTATGGACACGGAAAAGAAAAAGAAGAGCAACATTCTCGATGCATAAACACAAGCATTCTTCTGCATTTGTAGAATTTCTGGCTGCTGTCATTTTTTTATGAGTTTTGAACATTGACATCCTTATTATCATCCACACATTCTAAAATGAGCCATTAGCAAACCATCAATCTTGTAATAGCAAAAAGCGCGGCTGCAACAATCTTCTTGAAAATCCGAAACCAACCCATTTCCAGTGACCAGTACGTATTAATTGTATATAGCAAAGTGTTCACTGTTTCAGCTGGATGTCGCTGTATGCAATGGTTGGAAAGACTGGAGGAACCGTTGTTTATTCATAGTTCTAATTGGAAGGGCTTCAAGAGATACGATGCGCTTATGAGAAATGTTCAAAGACACATCCCCAAGTAAATGATCTGAATTGGTTTCTGCAAGGAGATAACCAAGTTACAACTAGCTAAGCAAACAAATCAATCTATTAAGAGCAAAATATGGGCAAACAAACCTTCATAAGATTACCATTTCATAATAAAGATTAAAGACAACGTACATATACTAACTTGACAGAAAATTAAAGACAACGTACTATTCCTAAAACCACATAAAAAAAGTTAAACGACTTCACTTCTGCCTTAGCATTTTGGCTACATTATTAACAACAACCCCAGCACCCACAACAGCTCCAGCAACAGCAGCAACGGGAGCGACAACTGGGGCAGTTACCTGTAAAACTACGGTAACAACAGCGGCAACTGGGGCAATTACTGCTGCTGCAACTTCAACAAACTGGAAGAACTACATTATGAACAGTTTTTGCAGTCGAAATTGATTTTGCTCCAGAGCCCCTTCGGTTAACGTACCTCTCCATTGAATAATTCGAATTTACATGCACGCGTGCATTAATATTCAATGTGCATTGGAATATGAAGAGTTTCTGCATCCATATGGAGCTCTACAGCTAGCTCTTTTGTCATTGCCATGACTCTTATCTTATGCATTTGAAAAGTTTGTCATAAATAAATAAATAATTTTTATTTTTTAAAATATTTAAGTTGATATTGTTTTGTTTTTGAACTTTTTTTGTAACTTACATTTGGAAACCACTATTACAAGAAAAAGGGTAAAATAAAAAGGCAAAGATGAGTGATGAAAAAAAGAAGTTTCAAATGGGTTGGAGGAGTAACAAACTGTTGCGGTAGAAAAAGTTTACATAAAAGAGCCAAGGCTAGTGAAGAAGGCATATGAATATTAAGACTTGAAGAATGAGGTTAGAGATGTTGGGAGTATTTAAATGTGAGCCTGTAACTCAAAATCAATTGGCAATGGATGGAGGACCAACACGTGAATAGCATGTTCAAATGCTATATCAGAATGTAAGCATCCAAAACTAATTGAAAATGAATTAATGATGGTTTATTAATCCGTAATCGGAATCAAAATAAGGAGTGTACGTATTACTCCGGTGTTTACTTCACATAAAGAAATGAAAATGTAAGTAGGGTCTACACAAAATCAAGAATTCAAATTTTGATTTTGGAGAAATTGGACTCTTGGGTGGGGGGTGGTGTTCTAACTATTGTAAGAACTAACCCATTAAGAATTCAATTTTTTACCCATTATATCCTCACACAATTTTTAGTAGACTGAAAACACCTGCTGTTCTTTGACCCAAAAAAAAAAAAAAAAGACCTCATTTTGTTTCTTTCTTCCCGAAGTAATTACAGAGTACTATACCCTGTCTAAACTTTTGAAACTGCAACAACACTAGGTTTGGGAAATTCTGAGGATGACAAAACTGGCAACCAAGCCACACAAATCAAATGTTTAATCATTGAAGATTCATCGCCTTTGGCTTCTGATACGGCTTGAAATGTCGTCCACAGAGGACATATCATTAGGCACACAAATAAGGGCTAGATCCGTCATTAATTACTCCGTTCTTTCCTTCTTTTTTCTCTTAAGGACCCAATCCAGATATGATCAGGACTTCTGCATCCGTTTTATGATGCTGCATCCGTCACAGCCACAGTCTTGTGCACTCTATCAGAAGCTTTCTTCACCTACAGAAGGCATGAAAAAGGAGTATGAGATGAATGTAGCACATATTCATACATGAAACAGAACATGGCAAGGCACTTTACTTCTTTTTCCCAGTTAGTGCATGTGACTATGATTGAAAGAGATACTGCTTGCACAAACAGAGCCACAGTAATTCCAATCCAAAGACCCTGTGAAGAACATGTTGACTTGAAATTAATATGCCAAAGTATAATCCTAAAAAATATATATATATATATATATTTCTATAGAAGATTAAGAATGTGGAATATAAATTTGAATAAATAAATGAGCAGGGGAGAAACATCCAGTTACCTTCCCTCCAATGTGCAGGACAAAAGCTAATATAATTGAGATAGGAATGCCTATAAGATAATAAGCTCCAAGATTAACATAAGCCCCAATCTTTTGCTGCCCACTTCCTCTGATGACACCTGAAATTGTAATTGGAAGTAACATTTTGTCAATCAATCAATTATAAGATGACAGGCAACTAATAAGGTTATCTCAATCTTTCACAGAGGATGCCCTGACATGAATTTTTTTTCGAATTACACAAAAGGTTTGCAAACCCAGATTCAAATGAGAAATTATACTGTGATGGAAGAAGTATTTGAAGAAAAATGTCAGAGACCTGAAAGAACAGATTGAATTCCATCAAAAAAGTGGGCTATTGCAACCCACAGTAATATTTCTCCAGCATATTCCACAACTTCTTTATCTGTGGTGTAACAGTAGCCCCAAACTTTTCGACCCAATATCATGACAGCAACAACCACAATGCCTTCAGTAACAACCATGGAGAGTGTAACACATATGGCAAGACGGGCTAGTCGTGGTTTCCCAGCACCCAATTCATTTGAAACTCTTGTGCTAACAGAAAATAATAGAAGAATAGAAAAAGATTGTTGAGAAAATATGCAAAATAAAGACAAGTATGAAACTTAATGTAGCCATAAACTCACCTTGCTGCACCACCCAGTCCGAGGGGGATCATGTAAGTCAGTGCACATGTGTTAAGGCTGTGTGAATGTGTCACAATCTGTTAGTAATCAGTGTTTCTGCTTCAGTTTTTATTACTTAGAAATCAAAATTTTGGGAGCTGTCATTGGCATTTCAAAATAACACTGGGCTCATTTGAAATTGCACCGGGGGGGAGAGTGCACGATGACTGTTTTGAATGTCAATATCAGCTCTTAGAATTGATACTGTTCTATTGTCATTGCTTAGGGTCAAATGAAAACCTGATTGACAGGACTGAGGTTTCAAGCTTTGGATTAGGAAGAAGACCAGATAAGAGGACCATCATTTCAAAGCACCACATTTCTAAGCTGTACACAGAGACATATAAAACCATCAACCAACGATAGTAAGTTCACATTGTGAAATTTCAAATGACCACATTTCTTATTTCATTTTAAATCTCAAAAGGTTACCTGATCATTACAGCTGAAGGAATGGATAGTTTAAGAAAACTGAGAATTCCTTGAAAGGCCTCCTTTGAGAATCCAGTCCATGTGTGCTTACAAGAGGGAGAGAATCTGACATAAAGAAACAATAACAATGCATTGATCCAATATGCGATGCAGTTTGCCACAGCCGCACCTTTATATCCAAGGCTGGTCTTGTATACCAGAAGCCAACAGATAAGCAAGTGTAGCAGAGTTGCAGTTCCTGTGGTAACAATCATGGGAACCACATTGTTCTGAGTTTGCAAGAATCTGGAATGACATTGAAGGATTGCGTAAGCGAAAAGGCTTGGTATCATGTAACAAGCAAATTCCCCAGCAGCAGCAGATATTTCTGGATCTTGACCCAAAAATTCAAGAATGAAGCCTGTATTGGCCCACACAACTGCAAGAGGAATGCTGACCAGCAAAAGAACAATCATTGCCCTCTGCATATGTATACCAAGCATATGATATTGTTTTGCTCCATAGGACTGGCCACAAAATGTGTCCAATGCGCTTCCCATTCCAATCTAATCAGCAAATTAATAAGAGGGAAATGAAGACTAGGATTATTATCGAACACAACATAAGCATTACAATTCAAATATCACACACACACACACACTATATATATATATATATATATATATATATATATATATAATATATGTGTGTATATTATTTTTTGATAATAGGAAAAGCCATCTTACCATCAAGCTGATACCAGTTACTGAAGCAAATGAAGTGGCCATGGAAGCACCTGAAAGTGCAAGTTCTCCGAGATGACCAACATACATGACTGAAACAACCTGTATACAAAACAACAAGAAATTTGATGACACAAGAGGCCCTACTAACAACAGCTGCTTCTTCACTTCCACGAAAAACTCATCTCGGGTCAGCTGTTGTCCTTTTCTTGCTTGATAGTCATGTTCTTGATCTGCAAATGGAATCAAGGGTGACTCAAGATCACCTGCTTGTTCTTCTGCATTCATTTGGTACTTTCTTGTTCTTCAGAGAGGAATATGTGTTGAAGGCGTAGAACACAAAGAATCCGCCGTTGTTGCAACCTGCAAACATATTGATCACGGAATATTGTGACTCAAATAAATCGAGCAAGCCACATGGTCCAAACGATCTGAACTTGCAATAAAATATTTATTTCCTTGAGGATCCCTCAAATAAATTAGGCTAAACTGCTGTTTTGCCCCTTGAACTATACCATAATTGTTAATTTTCCCCTTAAACAATTTTTTCGGTAAATTAAGAACTTAAATTACATGAAATTGGCCAATTTGGGACTCGCTCTGAATTTTTTGGATATCCATCCAAATTTTAATCACGTGACCTGGCCAATTTTTAAGTAAAAAAATGTAAGAAAAATTAGAAGAAAATTTATATATAAAAAAAAAGTTAAAAGAAAAGAAAGTCAAAAAAGGGTAGAAAAAGTTCCTTCGAATGGTTTGGTAACGGGGTGGTGCTATGCCTAGGTTTGGTGAAGGGGGTGGTGCTCTGCCTGGGCAGAACAGAACACACCATTCTCTCTGTTCATCTCTCAGACCCTACAGCAGAACCTAGAAAAGGAAATACAAAAACGTGTTGTGTGGGAAAATCAACAAAGATCTTCATTTTCGTGGTCACATTGTTTGTGGCTATTAGGGTTTTGCACCATGGCCTCCAGAAAATCCATAAATGCTCCGCCCATTCAGACCTTGCCACTCTCTCTTCTCCCTCTCTCATCTTCTCCAACCCCAATTCCAGTTCAAACCAACCTCCACCGACCACAATTCGAAGCCCACCTCCTCCACCGATCCCAATTCAAACCCCACCTCCGTCATAACTTCATGTATCCACGGACGCAATGCTTGTACGTAACCACCACAGTCACCACCATTTCACGAGCGCAGGAAATTAATAGCTCTTTGGAAATTTTATTCCTAAAAATTGAGGATGTGAATGTCACATAATTTGGGAATTCAATTTGGTGTTCAAATTTGGTATACCTAGCTAATATTATTGTTAATTCAGAGTCTCAGTTTGAACAATTATAGTATGGTACTAAAGTATGACAACATTGTATAACTCATCCGCGTGTTATACCACGGGTTATCAATTGTTATTTGAACAAATCAAACTGAAGGCTTCCCCTAAAAACGGGATTTGTTTATTTAAATATGTGGGTTTATATGTACATTACTTTTGGACTAATTATTTTCTGCATCTCTTATCAATTTCTGAATTGACCATTTCTTAAATCAATTCAAATTGGATGTTTGCCCTGATCAGCTCTGCCTTCCTGTCTTATTACTTGCTATAGAAGAAAGGTTTACCAGTAGATAGTTGTGCTTTAGTGAGGCAGAAACAAGTGAATAACGTGCTCATTTTGTTTCTTGCAGTACTAAAGTTAAATAATTTACCCAATGCAACACCAGATTGGGGAAATTATATGAAGATCTATGATAAATATATGCTATAGTGCATGATTAAGACCACAACCTTCGTTTCTTGTCTGTTAAGTTTTCCCCTTTCTGAAGTATTCCTCTGAAGGACCCAATCTGGATGTGATCATGACTTTTTCATCGGCTTTACGAAGATGCATCCGCCACGGCCATTGCGTCGTACACTTTCTTCACCTATGAAAGGCATGAAAAATAGAGCATTAGATTAATGTAATTAACAGAATCGGATACATGAAACATACTTCTTTTTCCCAATCAATGCCTGTAATTCCCATCCAAAGACCCTGTGAAGAGCATATGCTAAGAAAATGCATTAAAACGAATATTTTTTAAAAAGTGAGGGGACTTGAAATTTTTTTTTTTGGAGAAGTAGGAAGGTACCTTCCCTCCCATGTGCAGGACAAAAGCTAACAATACTGCAGTAGGAATTCCCACAAGATAATAAGCTCCCAGATTAATATAAGCCCCCATCTTTTGCTGCCTACTTCCTCTTATAATCGACATTCTCAATCATACCCAATGCTTTGGCCAAAGACTTCCGAACCATTTCTTTGGAGCATTCTCTCTCTTTACTATAGATAGAGATTTTCTTGTTATACACTCACATGCCTTCATGACTTAATTAAGAATCCCTACCATATCTTGAGTTATATATGCCTATAAGAACACGACTATATGGCATGATCTAAGATCAACAACGCTTTCATAAGGTAACACCAACGTTGAGAAGGGTACTAACTTCTACTCAGATACTCTACATGTACATCTCTTCCAACCATGACTACGCTATGTGCTCTACACCTCCTTTTCCCCTTGATTGAAGGAAGCCTCTCTTACCAACCTCTAATAACACCAACGTTGAGAAGGGTAATAACTTCTACTCAGATACTCTACCTAAATACATTCCCAATTTCATTCGAACGTTGGCGTCAAACTGGGCAACGCCGGGTACCACATTGGTGCCTCTTAGGAGACATGACCATCCCTTTTGTGTTGATCACCACTCGAGCTGAAGAAGAAAAACTTATTACTGCTGATCGGCGTAGTGGAAACTTTGACTTTTACGTCAAAGTCCTATGTTGAGCATTAAAAACCACCCGTCAACAAGAGGATAAAAAAATGAACCGCCAACATAGAATCATAGTCTATTCATGATGAATGATGCCAACTACAATCACATGCATGCATAGGTTTCTCACACACACACTACCATGGCGGCATGGGAGTTGAACTTAAGACCACTAGTCTGCAAGCAAATGTCATTTTCCATTGGGCGTTGGTTATTTGAAAGATGTTTTATGTTGGATGGAACTGATCCAGTCCAATTATATATGTTGAATCTGTTTGGATTGGATTGCTTACCTATATTGAATTCTAATATGACAAATCAAATTCTAATTGGATTGGATACTGATTCTTCAAAAGAAATTGGATTGTAACTGATGCATAACCTGTGTATAAACGTTAGCTTTGTAAATCGTATGACTTGATGATAATTTAAAAAATATGAGAAAGCGTGACATGAATTTAATGCACCAATAGTGATTTTGGACTCCTCTATAAATGGAGCAGAAAGGTTTGCCAGCTCTGCTTACTGACAAAGTAACGACTGAATGGGGCGCATTTTGTTTCTTGCAAATATGAAACAGGGGAGAGTCTTCACCTGAATTTCCAACATCTATCAAAATATCTCCCATGAAAAAAATTATGCACATAACTAAGCAGAAGAGCCTTCATTATTTTTTTAACTCTTTTATTTCTGAATTTGGCTCAGAATTATACAATCTAGCTATGATCATGACTTCTGCATCAGCTTGACGACTCAGCCACGGTCACTCTGTTGAACACTCTATCAGAAGCTTTCTTCACCTACAAAAGGAATGAAAATGGAGCATGAGATGAATGCGACAGAGACTGATACATGAAACTTGACATGACAAACAAGTTTACTTCTTTCTCCCAATCTGTGCATATGACTATGATTGCAAGAGATAGTGCTTGCACAAATAGCGCCATAATAATTCCAATCCAAAGACCCTGCGCAGAACACATAAATTTTTTATATCCATGGAAGATTAAGAAAGTAGGTTAAAAGAAAAGTGGTATGGAAGATTAAAACCACAAGGATCTGGTGTCACCTTCCCTCCAATTTGCTGCACAAAAGCTAATAAGACTGCAGTAGGAATTCCTATAAGATAATAGGCTCCCAGATTAACATATGCCCCAATCTTTTGCTGCCCACTTCCTCTTATGACACCTATAATTGTAAATCAAAGTCTCTTCTTTTCAATAAATCGGCTACAGAATATTTTCTTTAAGATGAGAAACTTGGGTATACAGAATAGTTCAGTGTTTCACAATGACATACTTCACCAATTGCACTTATATATTATGTTATTTCTTTATGAAATCAGTTTTATGGTATAAGCCTGGGATTATATGAAGTTCTGGAAATCGAAGATTATAACCGAAAATTCTATTGTTATGAGAGAAGAAATTGAGAGAAATAGCAAGAACCTGAAAGAACAGATTGAGGTCCATCAAAAAAGTGGGATAGTGCGACAAAAATCAACATTTCTCCAACATACTTCACAACCTCTTTTTCACTGCTGTAACAGTAACCCCAAACGTTTCGAGCCAATATCATGACTGCAGCAGCCACAATGCCTTCAGTAACAACAATGGATAGTGCAACGCATATTGCTATACACGCCATTCGTGGTTGCCCAGCTCCCAATTGATTTGAAACTCTTGTGCTAACAGACAATGTACAAGTAAAGAACATAGAAGAATTTATGAGACAAGTACTCACAATAGAAGCATGCAGTACTTAAATCTAGCTGTGTACTCACTTACCTTACTGTACCACTGAAAGCCAGGGGAATCATGTAGACCATTAAACATGTGTTAAAGCTGGAATTGTATCACAATCGGTTAGTAATTTCTTGGTTTATATTGAATTTTCTCATTATTTACTAACAAGAATTTGTATTTTCGTTAATTCATTCGTTAGCGTCAAATGTAAAACCTGATTGAGAGGGCTGAGGTTTCAAGCTTTGGATTAGGAAGAAAACCTGATAAGAGCACTATCATTTCGAACGACCAGACTTCTAAGCTGTTCACAGACATAAAACCAAATAAGTACTTAACATATCCATTCTAAGTCTTTAATGTTCCAATGGTGAGTCAACTAAAAATTACCTGACCATTACAGCTGAAGGAATTGATAGTTTTAAAAAATTGGGAATTCCATGAAAGGCCTCCTTTGAGAATCCAGTCCATGTGAGCTTACAAGAGGGAGAGACTCTGACATAAAGAGCCAATAACAATGCATTGATTGAATACGTGACGGAGGTTGCCAAAGCAGCGCCTCTGTATCCAAGGCTGGTCTTGTATACCAGAACCCAACAGTTAAGCAAGTGCACAAGCGTTGCAGCTCCTGTGCTAACAATCAAAGGAACCACATTGTTTTGAGTTTGCAGGAATCTGGCATGCGATTCTAGGATTGCGTAAGCGAAAAGGCTAGGTATCAATAAGCAAGCATAGTTGCCAGCAGCAGCTGATATTTCTGGATCCTGACCCAAGAATTCAAGAATGCGGCCAGCATTGGCCCATACAAATGCAAGGGGAAGGTTTACCAGAAGAAGAACAAGCATTGCCCTCTGCATGTGTATGCCAAGCATATGATACTGTTTTGCACCATAAGACTGGCCACAGAACGTGTCTAACGCGCTACCCATTCCTCTCTATTCAACAAATGAAGAGGAGAAATTTAGAGAAAAATGGAGCCTGATATTATCATAATACACAAAAGTAACAAAAAAAGTATAAAGTTTTTTTTTTTTTTTTAAATGGACAATAACAGGGGAAGCCATATTACCGTCAAGCTCAAACCAGTCACCGAAGCGAATGAAGTGGCCATGGAAGCACCTGCGAGGGCCAGCTCTCCAACATGACCAACATACATGACTGAAATAAGCTGCATGCCAAATAGCAAGAAATTTGATGCGACAAGTGGCCCTGCTAACAACAGCTGCTTCTTCACTTCCTCCACAATCTCATCTTTGACCGGTACTTGTTTTCTTGATAGTAATGATTGTTCTTGGGGAACTTGAATCAAGGCTGACTCGAGACCAGTTGTTTGTTCTTCGAAATCCATTTCTTGCTGTTCATACGGATGCTGGAAGAGCTATAAAATGGCCCCAATCCCACATTGAAGAACAAAAGGTAGTGCCCCTCTCCCTTCTATAAAGAGGTCATCTCCAACATTCTCTCTTATGCCAATTGTCTACTAGGCCACAGCCATTGTGGCCTCTCCATTATTAAAGTGAACATACCAACCTAACCTTTGTGTTATGTACCAATTGCGGTAACAAAATGGATCTCTTAGTAGATTTTGATCGAATCAACAGATTTGTTAAGAATAATTAGAAGATCAGTAGATAATTAATATGCCATATTTCAAGTTTGTGAAAATAGTCATTACCCCAAAAAACAAAAAATCGGCCTCATATGCAACTTGAAAAGCAAATTAATCATAGAACGTCGCAAATCATGTCTAACAATCGGGCATATTGTTTTATATGCTCCCATATTGTGAATTAAACAGTTGGCTCCCTCACAGCTTGTTGCAGCTTGTTGCATGATCGGTTCGTGGCAGAGGTGCATTTTCAAAGAACCAGTCTTTGGATGTGTCTTTTGATGCCTAAAAGTTTGAATTTTATATATGAACGTTAGAAACACTTCATGTACATGAATTAAAAATAAAAGGGACATTTTGGAAAAAGCAAAAGGAGAGAGAAAAATTTTAAAAGAAGCAAAAATGGACAAAAATACCCTTATTTATTTTTAGATTTCTTAAGGAATCCAATACATTTGCATGTCTTTGATTTAAAAATTGAGTGGTTTTTTTGTCTTTTTTGAAAAAGCTTTGGCTTTTTCCAAAAGTGAAATTTTTTTTATGTCTAAAACCTAAAAAACCTAAAATAAAAACACACTCTTACATAAAGAGGAGTGTCCTCATTGAAGTGGTACCTCTTGATTAAGAGGTGCAATCCAAGAAATACATGGTTTCTGGATTAAAGTTATACCAATTTACAAAAGACACAAACTCCTACATAAATAGAGGAGAATTTTCTGCAAAAACTACTTACATTTAATCATGTTCATTCATAAACTCTCCTCCTAGTTTCATAAAGCAAAAACCATCTAGAGATTATAATATGTAGCAATAGCCTCTAGACATTCTTGATTCTAAAGTGTGTTTGGGGTTTGTCTTTGAGTGTGCAACTCGTTGACATACAACGCAGCTATAGGTTGGGCTTCATTGTATCCATGGGCGGAACCACACTAAGGGCTACACTGGGTTATAGCCGAGTGAGGTTTTTTAGGGAAAAAACATCAAACTCTTTATATATTTAACTTGTTTTAAATATTAGTAAATATATATTAACTTATTTAAGTCCAAAAAAGTCCAATTCTTTATGAATTTAGTTGCAGACAAGCAATAAAAATACACATTAAAAAAGTTACACTTTCAATTCTATCGTTGAATATATTTTTATTTTGATAATATGTGTTTTTCAGTTGCATTTGATATGTATTTATTTTATGATAAAGCTTATTGGGAATTAGTCAATAGGGTTATGAACTAACGTGGTTTATATGATATAATATTTACTTTTATTTATAGAAACCTATAGAAATTGTAAGTAAAAAAAATTTATCATTAGATTTTAAGTCAATAACTTTAGCTAGCCCCACGCATTGAAAAATTCATGGTTCCACCATTGATTGTATCCACAAGACTTATTTGCGTACCTTTGCACCCAAGTTGTGGGGGCAAACAGAGTCTGAAAGATAGCATTTACATGCCTTGAAGCAACCTTTCATATCTTTCATCTTCCATAGCCATACCCATAGACATACACATCCAACACAATTCCCATTTACGCATGCTTAAATGGAACAACATGCTTACATGAAATGAGACAAACAATGAATTGGGGAAATTGGGAATGACAATGAGAGATGAAATGGATATGAAATCAACTATTCCTACCTAATCAATCTAATTTTTGAGTTTTTAGGTGTACATTACCAAGGATGGACCCGTGATTTCAAAAAGGTGTGGGCTAAATTTACTTTATGTACAAACTTATTGAAAACTAGATGGTACAAGTAAATTTCATTGATTAAAAAAAAAAAAAAAAAACATACACCTTTGGGAGAGAAAAAGGGGGGAGGAGGGCACATAATGAGCCTTACCCCTCAAATAACACTTATATAAGTTGCACCCTTAGGGCTAGTTTGGGATTGCTGTCACTTTTAAAAAAAGTTGATTCTGTTGTGCTTTTGAAATAATTAGTTGTAAAGTAAAGCAGCTACATGTTTGGTAAACAATATTTTTAAAGTGTTGTTAATACAAAAAGCAGTGTCAAAACTATTTGGTACATTTTAATATAAAACTGTTGTATATGTGAATAATGACTAAAATATACATGATGTTGAAAGCGTTATGCGCTAATCATATGATGGTAGTGGTGGTGGTGAAAGAGATGGAGGTGAAGATGGTGGTGAGGATAGTGGTTGTGAAAGTGGAGGTGGAGGTGGTTGTGATGGAGGTGGTGGAGGTTGAAGAGGAGAAGGTAGATGTGGAGGTGGTGGAGGTGGAGGAGGAGGTTGTGGTTGTGGTGATGGTGGTGGCGGATGTGGAGGAGGATGTGGTGGTGGTGGTGGTTGTGGAGGTGGTGGGTGGTGGAGTTGGATGTAGAGGTGGAAGTGGAAGTGGTGTCATTTTTAAAAATTAATGATGGTATTTTGGGAATTAAAAAAATTTATTAAAGGCTCATCTTTGCTTCTTTTAACAGCAACGTAGAGCATCCACAATGAGCTCCCTAAATCACATTATTAGACAAATTTTAGGGAGGAATGATAAAAATGCAACTCCAGCCACGCTCCCTATCCACCTCCTAAAATAGGGAGTCCTCTAGGAGCTCCTAAATCTGAGGAGAGAGAAAGGACTCCTAGTGGCTCCCTATAATTTAATGCTGCTTTATTTAATGCGTATTTCAAACCTTTATTTAATGCTAACTATTTTTTATTTTATTTTTTAATAAAGATGGACCAATCAAAAAAGAGTTATAGCATTTATGACTCTCTAAATTAGGAAGTATAGTTGGAGTTGAAATTTTTTAGAGAGCTCCTAAAATAGCTTTCTTATATTCTTAGCCAAATTTTAGCTAAGAAATAGAGAGCGTCAATGTGGATGCTCTTTTTTAGGATGTGGATAGGGAGCGTGGCTGGAGTTGCATTTTTATCATTCCTCCTTAAAATTTGTCTAACGAGGTGGTTTAGGGAGCCCATTGTGGATGCTCTTAACAACTCAGAGTCTGCTTTTAAAAACTGTTGTCAAAATGCCACTGCTTTTAAAATAATCGAGATATTTTATTTTTACCAAACACCTTAAACTATTTAACTTTAGAGTGAAGCAAGATTTTTTGCCAAAAAAAGCAATCCCAAACGGAGCCTTAGAGTCTTCACAACGTTAAAATCACTAATTATTGATTCATTGTCTATATTATCAACAAATTCTCTCAAAAATTCCAATAAAAATGCTACATATACTTAAATAGTTAAATATCTAATAAAATCCCTAATTGACAATTCATACAAGCAAGCAAGAACACCAAAATCAATTTCAAATCCTATTTGATAATAAACTTATGATCCCTAATTGATATTTCATAAACCCTAAATAATATCCAAAATTTTGAAAGAAAAGAAGATAAAGAATGGAAAGATTACCTTGTAGTTTGGTTTAATTAAGTCTAGACATGACATCATAATTTTCTTTTTATCAAAGAGTAGGGGTTAGCCGCTGATGGTCTGCTATTGTGCAAGAGAGAGAGAGGGAATTCTTTTTTTTTTTTTTGGGAAAAGGAGAGAGAGAATGTCTGTGGTTAGTTAGCTTAATGGGAGTCTAATGCTTTTTTACGTGTGGTGTGGGGGTTAGTTCCTATTTTTTATTTGTTGGACAACCTAGTCCTAGTTAGATTAGTTAATAATATCTTATTTGGGTGGCCCATGCTAGGGTATTAATTTAGTCTTAACAAAAACAAGTTTCCTGGGCTATAGCCCAGATTAGCATGTTAGTAGGACCGTCCCTCATTGCGGATTCTAATGTTATGTGCTAGTAAAGACGAGAGAAATCACCAATTGGAACAGTTCGATTATTCGTATGTGAACAAAACGTAGGGAAGTCAGGTCATCGTAATAATTTCAATATCCACCCCAGGTAACATGAGTGCATGTGCTCCGGCGGCATCGATCATGGGTCTATATACAAACTAGGTGAAACACCAAAATTAAACATCACATCTCTTTTGCCTTGAGACCTTGTATTCAAGCTAGATTATTGGGACAAACTCCACGTTTATGATGGAATAAATAGAGCCAGTTTTGTGATTGCTTCTAATTACCTACCCTCGTGCATGCATGACAGGACACTCCTTATAGCCGAGGCCTAGCTCAGATTTCGAAAGATCCCGTGCCAGCCACGTGATCTTTTTTACTCTAATTGCATGAATGTGGGCATTCATGTATCTGAGATTATATGATACATATAAGTGGGTGTTCTTACTTCCTTCAAGTCTCGTGGGTGTTTTTGACTTTATATATATAGATTCATTTTTATTCTGCGCAAGGGCCATGAGCTTCTTTTTTAGATTGGCAAGATAGATGAAAAAAATGTTTGGCACCGACGACATGTTGGATGCTGTCACTGATGTAGTGCAGTTCTGGGTGTGTTAGTTTAAACACTCAGAACAATAGGACAGAAAAGAATATGAGACGTTGAAGGGAAGAAAAGATAGAAGGAAGGCGGAAATCAGAGAATTTAAGAGAAGGTTTAATCAATATTCAAACTGAATTTTAAAGAACTATATGGGGGTATTTATAGCAAACTAAAACTTAGAGACAATTGGATAAAAACTCCTAGCTAAAACAGAAATCTTATTCCTAATAAAATAGGAAACTTAGAAATCCTATTAGAATTTGGAAAACTAAAGAATTTAGGAAACTAACAAATAAATTAGGAAACTAAATAATTTAGGTCTTACGCAACTTGCATCAGTCACTCTCGTAATGGAGTACTTTATTATTGATAATAAATTGAAGTAATAGGAGGAAGTGATTTGCAATGACTTTGCATGAAATTAAACGTGAAATCATGAAGAGTTAGATTTTCCTTCCTATTGTTGTTATTTTCACGGATATGCCATTTATGCCGATA